TTATTATTATTATTATTATTAACATTATTATTATTATTATTATTATTATTATTATTATTATTATTATTAATATTATTATTAATATTATTATTATTATTATTTTTGTTTTTTCTTCTTCTCAGGGTTGTTGATAAATTGGGATTCTTACGGAATCAGTCAATTAATCAGGCTTTAAATTTTTTCAAGTGTGAGTTGTGCGACTTTTATTCATTGGCAGGTAAGTTCAGAGTTTTTCTCACAATACGACAAGTTTCTAGTAAAACTGACTTTTGCATTGTTGTGAAGATATTTTTGTCAGTGATGTTTATTTGTTTTAGGTACGACTCCAACTTCTTCGAAACCAGACCAGTAGCTGAAATTACTATGGGAATTATGGTAATACTTTTTAGTTTATGTATACTTTTATATTCTTCGGCCAATTCGAAGTATTTATTATTTTTTTCCTTTTCTGCTTTTTCTAGATTATGATCGTTGGGGTGCGTGATGTCGATGAAGAAGCCCACTTTCTCCTTTTTTCTTACAAAGACGATGTCAGGTCTATTGCTGGATACTGGTTTGTCGGTCTGTATTGGCGTATCCCAGTACAGAAGGTATGTATCACTTTCTAGGACCGGGAATGGAACATACTTAAAATATTGTTCAGCTTTTTCTTGAAAATTGCACATAACTGCCAGATGCTGATGAACTATGTTGGCCGTTAAGTTATGACGCTTTAGGTATTCAGTAGGCGCTAATACGGTGCATCCCGATACTATGTGCTCTATTGTTTCTGAGTGGCGACGACACATTCTGCACAAGTCGTTATCGAGTCGAACTCCGTGGATAATTTGGATATGATTTCGTGTTGCGATAACGTTGTCTTGAATCGCCACCAAAAATCCCTCAGTTTCCCCGAACAAGTATCCCTTTCTCAACCATTCAGTTGAGAATTCAATTTTTGATTGCAGAAGTAGATTGGGATACTTTCCATGAAGGGGCTTCGACAGCCATTCACTTTTTCGTATGTTGAGATCAGGAAGTGCTGAGCTTTCTTCTTTGAGTTTAACTGGAGAGTAGTTATCCAGCTTATTATTATTATTATTATTATTATTATTATTATTATTATTATTATTATTATTATTATTATTATTATTATTATTATTATTATTATTATTATTATTATTATTATTATTATTATTATTATTATTATTATTATTATTATTATTATTATTATTATTATTATTATTATTATTATTATTATTATTATTATTATTATTATTATTATTATTATTATTATTATTATTATTATTATTATTATTATTATTATTATTATTATTATTATTATTATTATTATTATTATTATTATTATTATTATTATTATTATTATTATTATTATTATTATTATTATTATTATTATTATTATTATTATTATTATTATTATTATTATTATTATTATTATTATTATTATTATTATTATTATTATTATTATTATTATTATTATTATTATTATTATTATTATTATTATTATTATTATTATTATTATTATTATTATTATTATTATTATTATTATTATTATTATTATTATTATTATTATTATTATTATTATTATTATTATTATTATTATTATTATTATTATTATTATTATTATTATTATTATTATTATTATTATTATTATTATTATTATTATTATTATTATTATTATTATTATTATTATTATTATTATTATTATTATTATTATTATTATTATTATTATTATTATTATTATTATTATTATTATTATTATTATTATTATTATTATTATTATTATTATTATTATTATTATTATTATTATTATTATTATTATTATTATTATTATTATTATTATTATTATTATTATTATTATTATTATTATTATTATTATTATTATTATTATTATTATTATTATTATTATTATTATTATTATTATTATTATTATTATTATTATTATTATTATTATTATTATTATTATTATTATTATTATTATTATTATTATTATTATTATTATTATTATTATTATTATTATTATTATTATTATTATTATTATTATTATTATTATTATTATTATTATTATTATTATTATTATTATTATTATTATTATTATTATTATTATTATTATTATTATTATTATTATTATTATTATTATTATTATTATTATTATTATTATTATTATTATTATTATTATTATTATTATTATTATTATTATTATTATTATTATTATTATTATTATTATTATTATTATTATTATTATTATTATTATTATTATTATTATTATTATTATTATTATTATTATTATTATTATTATTATTATTATTATTATTATTATTATTATTATTATTATTATTATTATTATTATTATTATTATTATTATTATTATTATTATTATTATTATTATTATTATTATTATTATTATTATTATTATTATTATTATTATTATTATTATTATTATTATTATTATTATTATTATTATTATTATTATTATTATTATTATTATTATTATTATTATTATTATTATTATTATTATTATTATTATTATTATTATTATTATTATTATTATTATTATTATTATTATTATTATTATTATTATTATTATTATTATTATTATTATTATTATTATTATTATTATTATTATTATTATTATTATTATTATTATTATTATTATTATTATTATTATTATTATTATTATTATTATTATTATTATTATTATTATTATTATTATTATTATTATTATTATTATTATTATTATTATTATTATTATTATTATTATTATTATTATTATTATTATTATTATTATTATTATTATTATTATTATTATTATTATTATTATTATTATTATTATTATTATTATTATTATTATTATTATTATTATTATTATTATTATTATTATTATTATTATTATTATTATTATTATTATTATTATTATTATTATTATTATTATTATTATTATTATTATTATTATTATTATTATTATTATTATTATTATTATTATTATTATTATTATTATTATTATTATTATTATTATTATTATTATTATTATTATTATTATTATTATTATTATTATTATTATTATTATTATTATTATTATTATTATTATTATTATTATTATTATTATTATTATTATTATTATTATTATTATTATTATTATTATTATTATTATTATTATTATTATTATTATTATTATTATTATTATTATTATTATTATTATTATTATTATTATTATTATTATTATTATTATTATTATTATTATTATTATTATTATTATTATTATTATTATTATTATTATTATTATTATTATTATTATTATTATTATTATTATTATTATTATTATTATTATTATTATTATTATTATTATTATTATTATTATTATTATTATTATTATTATTATTATTATTATTATTATTATTATTATTATTATTATTATTATTATTATTATTATTATTATTATTATTATTATTATTATTATTATTATTATTATTATTATTATTATTATTATTATTATTATTATTATTATTATTATTATTATTATTATTATTATTATTATTATTATTATTATTATTATTATTATTATTATTATTATTATTATTATTATTATTATTATTATTATTATTATTATTATTATTATTATTATTATTATTATTATTATTATTATTATTATTATTATTATTATTATTATTATTATTATTATTATTATTATTATTATTATTATTATTATTATTATTATTATTATTATTATTATTATTATTATTATTATTATTATTATTATTATTATTATTATTATTATTATTATTATTATTATTATTATTATTATTATTATTATTATTATTATTATTATTATTATTATTATTATTATTATTATTATTATTATTATTATTATTATTATTATTATTATTATTATTATTATTATTATTATTATTATTATTATTATTATTATTATTATTATTATTATTATTATTATTATTATTATTATTATTATTATTATTATTATTATTATTATTATTATTATTATTATTATTATTATTATTATTATTATTATTATTATTATTATTATTATTATTATTATTATTATTATTATTATTATTATTATTATTATTATTATTATTATTATTATTATTATTATTATTATTATTATTATTATTATTATTATTATTATTATTATTATTATTATTATTATTATTATTATTATTATTATTATTATTATTATTATTATTATTATTATTATTATTATTATTATTATTATTATTATTATTATTATTATTATTATTATTATTATTATTATTATTATTATTATTATTATTATTATTATTATTATTATTATTATTATTATTATTATTATTATTATTATTATTATTATTATTATTATTATTATTATTATTATTATTATTATTATTATTATTATTATTATTATTATTATTATTATTATTATTATTATTATTATTATTATTATTATTATTATTATTATTATTATTATTATTATTATTATTATTATTATTATTATTATTATTATTATTATTATTATTATTATTATTATTATTATTATTATTATTATTATTATTATTATTATTATTATTATTATTATTATTATTATTATTATTATTATTATTATTATTATTATTATTATTATTATTATTATTATTATTATTATTATTATTATTATTATTATTATTATTATTATTATTATTATTATTATTATTATTATTATTATTATTATTATTATTATTATTATTATTATTATTATTATTATTATTATTATTATTATTATTATTATTATTATTATTATTATTATTATTATTATTATTATTATTATTATTATTATTATTATTATTATTATTATTATTATTATTATTATTATTATTATTAATATTATTATTATTATTATTATTATTATTATTATTATTATTATTATTATTATTATTATTATTATTATTATTATTATTATTAATATTATTATTATTATTATTATTATTATTATTATTATTATTATTATTATTTATAACAATATCACAAAGCACCATGCAAAACATTCAGACCTAATTTTAAGAAAAAGTGAAAAAATATTCAAGAAAACAAATGTTTAATGTCAAAAACAACGAGTTTTAATAAATAAAATACAGAGCAACGCCGAGTTGCTAATTCTATCAATTACCAATATTGACTAACTATATTCATTCCAATTCCAATACCTAATTTTGCCAACATAGCAATATTCAAAGTTAATATAGCGGCAACATCACTTAGAGCGTATCATGGTAATATAAACAATCGAAACCAAACATATTTTTAAAACAGTGCCTTACAAAAGCGTTTTTTAATTATTCTATAAAAAATTTTAAAATGGAATTAGACACTTTTCTTGTTCCGTTGTCAATACCAAATTTATAATTATGCACCAATTAATTGTCCTTAATTTATTTAAAGTTATTGTAAAACTTTTCTTTATTACCTTTAATTTTAATAAATTTGCATGTATTTATGAGTTTGTAGACTATAAGTTCAATATATGTCTACATATTCACTTTGGTTGGTATATTTGTTTATTATTTATTTAATTTATATTTCTACGTAGATCAGATTTTAGAATGTTTCATAAGGTTTAATAGCGTATTTCTCGTAGATAGCCACTAGTTCTGGATGTATATCCTTTTTCAGATCCTTTAGCACCTCTAAAGTATCGTTAATGTTTAAATACAAAAAGTTGTCAGGTTTTACTGTCGGCCATTTCTTGATTCCTAACAGTTCAGTGTTACAAGAAGTTGGATTTCTGTAAATGACGAAAAATAATACATTAAATAAAAAATATTTTATCGAAATATATTTTTTTTCACTTACAAACTTGTTGCAAAATTAACGATCAAGGTCAGAAATCTTTCGCTCGTTACTATGTCACTTTCTGGAAAATCATTCAAATTTGAATCGTTTTTGGTCACCCACATGTAGGCAGCGTCATCTACATGGCCAACTCTATCAGCACCTATAAACAATAATATTAGGCATTCCAACGACCTGTCCAAATGGCTACCAGTGGGTAATAACAGTTTAGATATGGCAACCCTGTTGTCATGTTGTCATTAACAGGGTCAATGATACATATATAGTTATATAGATTGCTCAAAGCTGGTCGTTTACGAGCGGCCATATTGCCTGGCAAATATTTATTAATTTGAATCGGTTTAGCAAAAATGTGTTTTAAAACCAATTTTTAGCCTTTAGATATTTAAAAAAAAATAATTGCTTACATTTGTACTTCAAGGCATACGCTTAAGTTTATTTTGAAAAATATGGATAATCAATCTATGTAACTATCTATTTCATTGACCTTGTCAAATCACCAGGTCTACAGGGTTGCCATAATTTTGCAATATCATAACCCCTCAAAGCCCACTGGTAGGCATTCAGTTTGTAATGCCTAATTAGTAATTCTAAACAAAATGGCAGTCGGTGGCAAGGTTTGGTATATCAAAATATCTAAGGGGTTGTGACATACGATGTATTCTATCTACAACACGTGGAATATGAATAATGGATTAAATTTAAATATTTTATGACGAACACAATGAAAAAAATGAAAATTTTGAGAAAAATTATGGAACAGTGGTTTAAGAACCATTTACTGTCTATCAATCTCAAGGGGACAAAAACGGTCCTTTTCACAAGGAAAGGGATGAAAATTGAATTAAAATCCAAAGATCTCCTAAATACAAAATAAACTTTGCAACAGAGGTGAAGTACCTAGGTAGCACCTCTGACAATAAGTTAACATGGAACTCACACTAAGAAAACAGAGTCAAAAGAGCATACATTACCTGGGGTTTCTCCCCCAGAGTCGTCACATGGACTTACATGGCCATCATCAGACCTACGCTAACATACGGTGCAGTTGTCTGGGTACCGAAAATCCAAAAATTGATAGCTATCTGCAAAATAGAACAAATTCAAATAGCAGCATATCTCAACATAACAAGAGCCATGAAAACCACACCAACCAGAGTCATGGAAGTCATTCTTAGTCTCACTCCCCCCTTGATATTGACATCAAGGAGGTTGCTCTCATAACAATGATATATCTACATCGATGGTTCTAAAACAAAACAATGCTCAAGATGTGGAATATACTCCAATTCCTTAAAACTCAACATAAAATGGGCTGTGGGCAATAGTGACAATGTAGTTCAAATCGAGCTCAGGGAGGTTCTCATAGCAGCAAAACAAATTACCAGTAACAATATCACTTGTAGGAACATGCTCATCTATACAGTAAGCAGATAAGCACTACTTACCCTGAACAAACTACGAATTTACTCAGGGTTAGTACTAGAATGTCACGAAGCTTTGGCAAGAGTATCCATCCAACAATGTGGTCACCTTAAGGTGGATCAAAGGTGACGCCACATCGAAAGGTAGCCTTCTTGCTGATTCACTAGCAACCAAATACTTTTTGGACCTGGCCCTTCTATTGGAATGACAACATTGGTAGTGACAGACCTAATTAAAGAATATTCCCTTTTGATATTGAAGGAAAGACGGGATGAAACAAGAAACTGCAGAGTTACCAGGCAGCTTTTAAGTTATCCTGACAACACTAGAACACACAAATACTTAAATATGACTAGACAGAATCTGCGTCTGATCACAGGCATTCTAATTACTACTTAGTTAAATACAACTACTCAATAACTATACTGCAATTTCCACAAAACACTAATAATAATATACCAAACGTTGTTCTACATAAATTGACAACTATATTTGACGTTAAACCCCTATAGGAAGACTAGAAAGAAGAAGGCGAATCGGCAATGGTCAAATTTCAAATTTCCGTCCTTCTTTTTATAAAGTTCGCGAAATTGACTGTAGTTGGCATATCTAATGACAGCGCAGTCAATTTTCTATGTAATTCAATGTAAAATTAAGTGATTTTTTAAAAATTGATGAAAAGAATCAAAATAATGTGAAAAAAAGTACCTGAGTACAAGTAACAGGAGTGACAAAAAACATCAAAACAAGATTACGTCGTTTTAGATTGTAAAACAGGATAAAAATCAAATGTAAAACTAAAGAAAACACAAGAAGAAATCAATTCAATGTCTTTTTAAAGCTTTTAATGTAAGTAAAATAATGTATTCATTTCTAAATATAATATGTATTGTAAAGTAGTCACAATATGTATCTGACGAAGTGTAGTTTATTTTATTAAAAGTTTCTATAATATAAACTTTTATAGTTATAGATGGTGACTTACAAACAACAATAATCATGCATTAAATTTAACTTACTAGAAAAGAAAATTTATTTTTTATAGAGTTTTAATATTAGATAAAGAGTTGCTACTGTTATAAATTAAAATTACTAAAATTAAAGTTATTTCCTTTTCAATTCAGTTTAAATGTACTCCGCTCTTCAATGTGTCGTTTATTTGTCATTAATTTGACATTGTCAAAAATGGCATTTAACTTATAAATATTGTATGACTTTTGAATGAAAGAAAAAATAAAAAAGACAAATAAACGACACATTGAAGAGCGGAGTACATTTAAATTGAATTGAAAAGGAAATCACTTTAATTTTAGTAATTTTAATTTATAATTCGTGAATTTGTTTGACTATTTAATGAAAAATATACACAAATTTATTAGAACATCAAGTGTACAATCTCAACTTATTGTAAGTAGTACCTTTAGTTATTTTGGTCCATTGTAACTATTTTCCAACATTATTTGTAGTCTACCCTGATGATGGAAATGAATTAATAAATTTCCGAAAGCTTGGCTGAAGTAAAAAGAGTTTTCTTTCACATATTATTTGCTGAATTCCCCAATAATTTGATTAGTTTTCTACTTAGTCAGCAACTACTACCTTCTAGTTCTTCTTATATATATATATATATTTTATTTTTATTATTTTGACAAAATTATGTATAATTATCATAAAAAGCCATGTATTTTTAACAACGTATGCAGTACCAGCGCCCATGCGGTTAATTATAGAAGCTCAATTAGCACGCATTTTTTGGGACTGTATTTTGAGTATGCCGATTCGTCTCCTTATCTCTAGTCTTCATAAACCCCTCTAAAACACTGAGAAAACTAGGCAGTTTTTTGTCCACGAATCGCCCATTTAGTTTCGCTTCTTGGGTAGATATTCTTTGACCATGGTATCATAGTAAATAAAGTTGGCAACGATTACTTTTTACAAGCAGCGAATACTTAAAAGTACCGTTTGTTTATTCTTGGCTCTTTGTGGACTGTATCAATTTTAATTAATAATTATTTGACCCATTTTATGTACACATTTTATTTGTTTTAAATACAGCAAATAGGTTAAACAATTTACATTTCTTGTAAAAACATACATGTTTCGAGAATCTGTTGTAATGAGCATTTTTGAACCTCTAGGTTTTCTCAATAATAAAATCATAAAAGGTAAAATCCTGTTACAAAATATTTGGCGTGAGAATATAAACTGGGATGAAACGAATTCATCAAATTCCTTTCAACGTTGGAAAAGTTGGATAAACGAATTTGGTACAATAAAAGAAATAACAATTCCTAGATGTTACTCACCAAATATTCCCACGGCAAGTAATATTCAATTACAATAAGTCGAAGAACGTATTGCATTAGTTACACATGCCACATGAACAAATTTAACAACCCCAATGTGGCGTTCTTTAATTACCAAAGTAGGTAAGATCTATTCATGTATGTAACACAAATAGTAATCAACTTTTGTCACAAAGTAGGTATTTATGTATTATTTATTGTTTTAGAACAAGAAAATGGCTTCAAGACGTTAGAAAGAAGATTTGATATAGGAAGAAAAATATCTTAATTCCCATTATTGACTTTGCACTCAACATTTTTAAATAAGATACCATTGGCCATTCGTTTGGAAAATAAAAACAAAAATGCAATCTTACAAATAACAATCAAAAATTAAAAAATATTTGTCATGAATATAGATTTACAATAATTAATCGATAATAGATTTTAAGTGTAGTATTCTTTTTAATAAATAATTAAGCGGAATTACATTGCATAAGTTTATTTACAAGAACATGAGAGTGCAGTCAATATTTATACAACCTTTATTATCAGGTTTTTAAATATTCCGCTGCGTTGTTTGATATCAATGAAAGCGCCACATAGTGGGTCAGATGTTAACTGCGATAAAGCTGGTCGTTGGCTTCTTATGGCTTATGGCTTATGGCTTCTTATGGGCGTTTCCTATCCTTATCTCTGCCCAGCAGATCATGCCACTAGAGACGAAAATCCAAAACATTCCGAAGCTAAGTAGTTAACAGGTCCTGCATTTTTGCATGATCTATTTAAAGTCAATAATTTTATATTTGAAGACTAACGAAATGAAAATAGTTTTATATGATTTATATGAACCTATTTAAGGAAAAATGGCATTTATTCTCACCAAAACTGACTATCTACCTTATCTCAAGTTTGACATTGACGTAAAAATGTAATGCAAAGGTGCGGACAATTTAGCATCGTCATATCATTGTCTAAGCGTTTAGTATCCCATAAAAAAACATTTACAATCACAAAATTGGGATTCAACAAAAAACTAACAGCAGCAACTCTTCATCTGACATTAAAAATCTATAAAAACTAAATGGTTTTTTCTTGTAAGTTAAATTTAATGTGTAATTATTGTTGTTTGTAAATCAGGATCTATGACTAAAAATTTTATATTATAGAAATTTGTAATAAAATAAACTACACTCTGTAAGATACGTGCTGTGACTAGTTTACAATAAATATCATATTTAGAAATAAATACATTATTTTACTTACACTAGGAGCTTTAAAAAGACTTTGAATTGATTAATTCTTGTGTTTTCTTTAGTTTTGTATCACGTTTTACCATCTGAAACGAAGTAAATCTTGCTTTGATGTTCTTTGTCACTCATGTTACTTGTACTCAGGAACTTTTCTTCACATTATTTAAAAAAACCACTTTATTTTACATTGAATTACATAGAAAATGAACGGCATTGACGTTCGACCTGCCAATCACAGTCGATTTGGCGAACTTTATAAAAAGAAGGACGGAAATTTGAAATTTGACCAATGGCTGGTATATCTCAAGGGGTCGCGACATAGCGTTTATCTTGGACGTCATTTTTTCCAAAATAGTAGTCGCCAGGCCGGTTAATATAAGAAAAAACATATCACCGTTTTTTTTTAAATTACATTTTCATTATAAAATGCCCGGATTTTTTAGGATAAAATATTTAAATTTTATCAATATTAATAATCTAACAAGTACATAGAATAGGTCGTGAAAAGAAGTAGACTACTTTTAATTTTGTGCTGTTTTGGTTTGGTTTATTTTAAAAGGTAATATGAAGGGATGAGGATGCAGAACAAATTGTGACTCCCTTTTTTAGGGCCCCAGTCCCTTAAGTCACTTCAATTGTATGTTTTTGTTTTTAATTTAAATAATAATTTTGTGTAATATCTTGTCATTTGTTTTCTATACATTGTAGCATGTATTTGTTCGCTACATTTTACATATGATGGCTTTGAAATACCTTTACAACAAAGGTACTTTCCTAAACCTCACCAAAATTTAAAACCGATTGCAGTTCCTACAGAAAATCTCCAGTAAAAAAGAAACATTTGTCTGCATGCAGACTAAATAACAGTACTTAGCCTGGCAAAAGAGATCGACAAACCTTTGTTAATATTTTAGGACAATAGTGTTAACAGCAGACCACGACAAGAACAACCAAAGTTTAGTTATCAAGCAAAATATTTCAGTATCTCCAGAATTATAAACTTATAAAAACTATAATAGGAAACATGTATAGCTTCGAATAGGAAATTACTCAAATTAGCAAGTCTAGTGAATATTACATTTAAAAATTTATTTTTAATCAAAACTTCTGGGCTTCTACTTCAATAATAACCATATAGAAATACATATGCATTCTATAGTATTGAGTAAGATTCACATCAAATGTACCCACAGTTTATAAACATTATTAAACTAAACCAATTTTAAATAACACCTGTTTTTTATTTAAATAAAACATGATAAATATTTAAATTAGTCTCAACTCCTTACATCACATCATTAGAAATCACCTTGCCTATCTTATATTGCGTCAATATTTTATATGAGATAGATACCTGGGATATCTGGACGAACTCCAGGTTTAGTACCGTAATAGGAAAATTGGTAAAAGTAGACGTCGCTGTAGTTTGACTGTAATTTCGCATGCTGGAGTATCCCTCGCCCAAAACTGTTGTCGCTAAAGTACTACAAGATAAATAACATATTTAAAATAATATTGCCCTAAGAATACATACATTAAGTTACCTTAACTCCTCTTCCTAGGTTATCCTGCAGCAAACCGTCTGTGTAAACAGCCCTAATTGCATTTCCAGCAGCTTCGCGAGTAGCTTGATCTGTCAAATGCATGTTGTCGTTAACAAACATTGTAACATTGTCATCGTAGCCAGCAAGTTGTTTTTTAAAAATATCCAAATCTAGAATAAAATACATTTAGTAAGGAAAATTATACATAGGCGAAACCACGCGACCAATTTAAGTTTAATTTAAAAAACACAAAATATGAAACTTCGTAAGTTGCTGTCGCATACAGATGGCCACTTAATAGAACGATCAAAAGTAAACAGCATCAAGCAACTTTACATTTATTCAGTCGGCCAACACAGTAAAATCATAAAGAAAAAAAAGTTGGTAAAAAAGGCTAAAAGATAAAAAAGAATGAACTGAATGGAATGAATTGAAATTTTTTTTTGTTAGTTTGCATTGCACTTAGCTATATTTCAGCCAACCAGCAATTTGTCTTTATTATAAACTTAAGTAAACTTAAGAGACTTAAAACTAAGAGTTCACCCAATGGTATCTTCTCCTTTCTATTCTAATAACTATACACTGTGCTCTGCTTTAACACACTTTCACATCACTAATTCAAATGGTTTGGTCTTTCTGAGCCTTCTCATTAAGTATTGGTTTTCCAGGAACTGTAGAACTTCAATGTTGAAATGATCATGCAGTCATTGTTCATGTTTTTTTTTGCGATTGTTTTTCTCTCTTCTTCTAATGTAGGCATTCTCAGATCTTTGTGTAAGTCTGAGTTTCTAACATATCAAGGGGCGTTTACTATTGCCCTTAATATTTTTGTTCTGGAAACGTTGTATTATATTTATGTTAGTTTTACTGGCACACCCCCAGAGCTGTATGCCGTAAGTACATACTGGCTTCAATACTTGTTTATATATTAAAAGTAAATTTTAGATTGAAAGTTTTGATTTTCTATTCATCAACCAGTATAATTTTCCATATTTAATACCCAACTTTTCCCGTTTTTTCTTTGTGTTCTTTCAACTTTAATTTAATATCTAGGTTCATTCCCAAGTATTTCGCCGAATTAGAATATGGTATTCTAGTATTATTTAATGTCACTGGTAGTTATTCTACTGATCTTTTATTAGTGAAGTTAACCTGAACTGTTTTAGTTTCGTTGAGCTTAATGCGCCATCTTTATTATTGGTGCCGCGAGACGAGAGATTCTCGTCTTTCGTCTCGTCTTGTCTAGAGACATTTTCTCTCGAAAAAAGATTCGAGACGAGACGAGAGAGTGTCATCTCTCGACGAGAATTTCTCGTTTCTCTCGAACTCTCTCGGGCTCTCTCGAACAATTTTTTCTTTGCTTATTTGAAATTTTCAATTGCTTATCGTAACTTAAAATTTTAACATATAAGATTTTGAGATAGTCAAAAAGTTAACTATAATACACCTATTCTATAAATATTAAATGGTAACAAATGATACTTGTGTTATTAGGATTTTATAAATAGTGATTTATAGGAAAAAATATTTCTCATTTCATTTATTTAAAATTTACACAATCATTTCTTATATTTAATCCATTCTGCTTTGGTGAGGTTACTTTTGAAGATAAGTTGAAAATTTGTAAGTGTTTTTTCGAAAAACTGTCAAAGAAAAGGTAATACACACGAATGTATTATATACAGTGAGGACGAAAATTGTACCCTCCTCTATTTTAACTTCTAAATGAAAAAATATAACAAAACAAAAACGAGGTAAAACTTTTTGTTATAACGAGATGCACTTTACTTCAGACACGTAAGATAGAGGGAGTTACTAGCTTTAAATTTTCTTATCGAAAGTAGGGTTATGTGATACCTCATTTAAAAGATATTTTCTATATTTTTACAACAGATTTAGGTTTTTATATTTTTACAGAAATTACATTAAATAAATTCATAAAGTAGGTTAAATTCTTTTTTTTTATTAACCGCTTCAACCTCAAAGGATTATTACCGGAGGTATATTACCTTATAAATGCTGTTTTTTACAATAGCATACAATGGATATTTAACATTATTTTGGCTAGTACAGAGTAAAGTCAGTATCTTTTATAATTTTAAGCAATTTTTTACTGTTAGAGGGACAAATGACAATTTTTTGGGGCTGGTACTTTGTTCTTATACAGACATGTTCTGGGCCTTTACTAATAAGTTACATTCTTGATAACTCTCGTATTAACAATTATTATTTATTATTAAGGAAACGCTTCTTGTATTTACTAAAATAAATAAATTAATAATATCAAAGGTGATTTAAAAACCACTTGACGTATTACATTTTTCATAACTTCTTAACAAAATAAAAACTTATTAAAAAATTCTCTTCTAACATTATCTAACAATTCTTGGATTATTGCGGCACACGGGGATTATCAAGAATGTAATTTTTGTAAAAACAAAACAAAATAACAAAATTAGAACTGTTTGCTTGGAAGTAAATATAATAAAAATATCTTTTAAATGTGGTATTACATGACTTTACTTTCCATTAGAAAATTTAAAGATAGTAACGCCCTCTATTTTACGTCTCAAGTAAAGTGCATTTCATTACAACAAAAATATCATGTTCCTCTAATTTCACATCTTTTTTTTTGTTTTGTGTCTCCGTCTTCTTGCATTTTGAAAACATACTACAAAATGCTTTCATTTGACATCGCAGGATTGCATTAGAAAAATTCTAACTTCCAATTTAACCTCTTCTCCTCCTCCCCAACTGACTTACAAGACAAAGTATTTTCGTTTTTAGTTAACGCCTAATCACGGCCCACGTATTACTTTAAATTTCAATTGTAAAATGACTGTGACAGACAGAGAGACATAAGTATTTCCTATTGCCAAATTTGGGTACTAATTAAGGATGTGCACGATGTATCGATGTTTATAAAACATCGATTTTTAGGTTTCGATTATCGATGTTCAACATCGATGTTTTTTATTCCGATGTTATTTGCTAACATCGATTTTTACATTAACATCGATGATTTTCTTTTCAATGTTTCTTGGTTTTTTGTCAAGCGTCACGTTTAATTTGATGGTTTAAATTTCTTTTTCCTGTTTTTTGCTCTTCGATATTTGAAAAAATTTGCGCATCCCTAGTGCTAATGCGCAAATTACTTGAAAAATTATTTGTTTTTGTCTTACAAATTTTACCGTTTTTTCATGTTTCGTCTTTTTCAAATTTAAATTTGATATTGTTTTATCACGAGAGAAACGAGACGAGACAAGACAAGACGAGAGGAAGGCTCTCTCGATCGAGAGAAGCGCCTTCTCGTCGAGACGAGAGAACAGTTTTCTCTCGCCTTACGAGACGAGACGAGAGAGGCCACTCTCTCGTCTCGTCTTGTCTCGCGGCATCACTAATCTTTATGTCCACTCATAGATTTTATTGGTTGCATGTTGAAGTTTTCTGGTCGATTCTACTATGGTTTTACCGATGGCAAGTATGGCCGTGTCGTCGGCAAATGTAGCTACTTTCACATTTTGCGTTTGTGGTATGTCGGACATAAACAACAGGTAGAGAACTGGTCCCAGAACACTTCCTTGAGGTACCCCTGCTTTAGTTTATTTAAGCATGGAATATTGTTCTTCTTGTTTAACTCGGAAGATTTATGAATCAAGTAAGATTTTAAGATGTCACAAATTGAAAATGAAGCAAGAAATTAATCGATAGAAAAAGATAAAAGAGCTGTCATTCTGAATATATATTAGAACACAACACAGAAATTAAATAAATTAAAAATAAAAATCCCGTTACCGACGGGATTCAAACCCGGGACCCTTGGATCTGAGAGTCCAGACTCTAACCGCTAAGTCACTCATCCCATGACGTAAATAGGTTTTGTGCCTGAAAAAGGTACTTCGTTTTTTTGAGCATTTGAGTACTAGAAATATAGAAAAACGTGTTTTATATTTTTTAGTGTTTTTTTTTTAGTAAAGAATTCCTTTTATACAACACTTTAGATTTACACGGGGCATTGACGCCTGTTGCCGTCCTATTCAAAATATTCTAAAAAACTTTTATTTAAACTAGAAAATATTACATTACAATGTTTTTATGGAAGAAAACTATTTAGTTCTCTTTCTGGACAGAGGGGCGGTTTATCCACACATGTCTTGACCGGTCTCTTTTCTGATATTTTCCTTCGTACAATTCCTGTAGCGTAAGTAGTATTTTCCTTTGTTTTTCTCATAGGTTTCCGGAATCGGTATTTCTTCCTTTAAATGGAACCTCATTTGATGATGAAGTCCTTTAACTTGAAGGTTTAGAGGTAATAAAGTCCCTGACATCTAAAACCTCGTTGGTCGAGAGTCCCAGAAGACAGAGTATTATAAAATGAATAAGTCATTAAATTCATTCCTTTATAATTGATTTTATGAAATTAAAAGCCATTCCAAATGGAGATATCCAACATGTGGAAAACCACTTTTTTGTGCCACATCACTGCCTTTCTTGGATAGGAATAGTATCTCATCATTTGATTAGTCCGATCAATACCAGACATGTTATCATTGTAGGCCGATATTTCCACAGGTTGTTTTTGTTGTTGTCCAAACATATTTTCTACTTCCATTAGTTTCGGTTGGTGGCCAGTAGATATTTTCAGAACTTCGCGTCTATCCTTCCACTTGAAAACACATATATTGCCTTTGCAGCTCCAAATGTGTTCTCCTTTCCTCAATTTCTTGCTGACAATACGTTTAGAATTTTATCGTTTGTTGCTTCGTAATGTTGGTCTTGAGTCTTGTAGGTTCCCAGCAATTCCTCTGAGAGACCCACACTATTGTAATAATTGTTCTTCCTTTTTTTGTTCATTCTGCAGTCAATTCAAATTTTAAAAACAAAACTACCAAACGGTGAAAATACTCCAATATTACGGACAACCTCGCCAAATTAAGCTCCTTTAAAGCAGCTAATCAAAATATTTTGATGTGTAGTACGACACTTTGTATACCTGTACATGAAAAACGGGAAGCACCGTTGCTGACCGCATAGGCTGTATATAATGAAGACAGGTATACCCGTCGAATTTCCAGTGTCCTAAAACCTTGGACGGGTATACTCGTCGGTGTCCATCTACGTCTTAATAATAATAATAATAATAATAATAATAATAATAATAATAATAATAATAATAATAATAATAATAATAATAATAATAATAATAATAATAATAATAATAATAATAATAATAATAATAATAATAATAATAATAATAATAATAATAATAATAATAATAATAATAATAATAATAATAATAATAATAATAATAATAATAATAATAATAATAATAATAATAATAATAATAATAATAATAATAATAATAATAATAATAATAATAATAATAATAATAATAATAATAATAATAATAATAATAATAATAATAATAATAATAATAATAATAATAATAATAATAATAATAATAATAATAATAATAATAATAATAATAATAATAATAATAATAATAATAATAATAATAATAATAATAATAATAATAATAATAATAATAATAATAATAATAATAATAATAATAATAATAATAATAATAATAATAATAATAATAATAATAATAATAATAATAATAATAATAATAATAATAATAATAATAATAATAATAATAATAATAATAATAATAATAATAATAATAATAATAATAATAATAATAATAATAATAATAATAATAATAATAATAATAATAATAATAATAATAATAATAATAATAATAATAATAATAATAATAATAATAATAATAATAATAATAATAATAATAATAATAATAATAATAATAATAATAATAATAATAATAATAATAATAATAATAATAATAATAATAATAATAATAATAATAATAATAATAATAATAATAATAATAATAATAATAATAATAATAATAATAATAATAATAATAATAATAATAATAATAATAATAATAATAATAATAATAATAATAATAATAATAATAATAATAATAATAATAATAATAATAATAATAATAATAATAATAATAATAATAATAATAATAATAATAATAATAATAATAATAATAATAATAATAATAATAATAATAATAATAATAATAATAATAATAATAATAATAATAATAATAATAATAATAATAATAATAATAATAATAATAATAATAATAATAATAATAATAATAATAATAATAATAATAATAATAATAATAATAATAATAATAATAATAATAATAATAATAATAATAATAATAATAATAATAATAATAATAATAATATAATAATAATAATAATAATAATAATAATAATAATAATAATAATAATAATAATAATAATAATAATAATAATAATAATAATAATAATAATAATAATAAATTATTATTATTATTAATAATATACTCTCTTTAATTCACCCTCTTACGAGTGAATTTTAACCTCTGAAGCCGACTCAAATTATGTGGGAAACGAAGAGCTGTTAATATTTTTTATGACATTAAAGTGTATAATAAATATTTTTCCTACCGTAAACATTCAAAATATATTCTTCCGACGCAATTCCAATCATCAATGGATATCTCAAAGCATGTCCTTGTTCAATGGCGTGGTACATGCTTTTACTCAAAAAAGCTTCATCATGGTCCATCTCAATTACTGCTGAGAACAAGAATCCCTCCATCAACTGATCTACTGGCTTTAAAAAAATAATTACTCAAGAATGACAAATAAAAGCTGAAAAATATTAGACATTCCAAACAAAATGTTTGCCCGTAGGTAATGACAGGTACATAATAGGTTATGATATGGCAACACTGTAGGCCTGGTAATTTGACAGGATCAATAATATAAATAGGTATTAAGATTAATCATCCATGTTTTTAAAAATAAAAATATGCTTATTCCTTGAAGTAAAGAAGTAGGTAATTATTTTTTTAATATATTCAAAGGCTGGAAATTGGTTTTAAAATAGATTTTTGCTAACCGATTCAAATTAATGAACACTTTCCAGGCAATATGGCCACTTATAAACGACCCTCTTTGAGCAATCTATATAACTAAATATGTATAATTGGTCCTGTCAATGACAACAGGCCCACAAGGTTGCCATATCTAAACTGTCAGTTTCCGCTTACAGCATTTTGACAGGTCGTTAGAGTGCCTAATTAGACGTTAGACAAAAAGTGACAGCAGACAGACAAAAAAAAAACAGATGAAATTACTTTTAACTGTCACTGTCGAAATAAGCGGAAGCAAAGGTTAAGTTTAAGAAGTTAAATTTGTAAACGAAGATAAATGAGACAGAATTATCAGAGTCTAACAGATCCTAATGACCTAATGATCTCATCCTGCATTAAGGATAAATCATATTTATCTTTGAAGGAGTTAATTAAGAATGAATATTTTTCTTATCATATATCTTATATATACATGATACTCATAATGTGAATAACTCAGGCTCAGATGCAGTGGTGTTTATAGTGTGAAGCGAAACGATGAAATACTCACGGCTCACGATTGTAAGGAACGGTTCAATTTATAACCTTGTACGCGTTGCTTCAGTTATGCTTAACGCCATTGGTTAGATCTTCTAAACGCATAAATCACTTGGTTTCAACGCCTGAGTTAGAAACAGTGTGTTTACAGAGAGATGAAATACGATAATATTTACCATATCTTTTGTGATTTACATATTAACGTTAAAATGGTCAGATTCGAGGAAGAACATCCATACACGATATAACTGTGACTATCTCCCTAGACCAAATATTAGCGACTATTTCTCTAGAGGAATAGCCGATATTTGGTCCAGTGAAATAGTCGTTCCAAATATAACATGATCTTGATTAATATTCTGCTATTTTTATGGTTGCTAAATTTCTCGAACATTTTACAATTTGATTCTACATAATTTTAGTATTAATAATCAATTAATTAAAGCCCTCGAGCCAAAGCTCTCGGGCTCTAATCAATTTATTAATGCCAAAAATTATGTCTCATCAAATTGATATTAAAATATTTTAGAGATTTAGATTCAACAAAAATAGCCGACTATTATTAAGGTCTTGGTATATTATCTTTGACTAATTATGAATGAATTGATTAGTCTAGTAGTTTTTCGTCGTTGCATAAAACTATCAGCTAAGCCAGATTATTCCCTTGAACCCTCAGAAGGATATCCGGCAAAGCATGGGGGATCAGGTTACATACGGCTCTGTCTGGTGGAACAAAGGACTTCAACGGACGGCTAGAGCTGGCGGGAATCCAGCGGCTTGCATGCCTCCCCATCACTGGGGCAATGGTAACCACACAGACGGGATCCATGGAGACCATGCTGGACTTAACCCCTCTCCACATTCTGCTTGAAATGGAGGCCAGGATGGTCTCTCCTACAGACTCCTGAAGGTGGATACTTAATGCAACGAAAAACTGCGATGGGACAAGACAGGGTTGATAAGTGAGATTAATAACCATTACATTCTCGACATAGTCTTAGACTTGTTTCCCGACAGTACATAGAAAAGCCATGCAGCGTACTCACAGAGAGACGTATGAAGCAAGGGAGGATAAAACCCTCTCCCAGGCGGACTATGCTCTAAAATTAAAAAAGGAGTAGGAGCGGGAGTTTTCAGTCGGAGACCAAGAGTTGACATCAATAAACCTAGGCTTTCTGGCCACGATCTTCCAAGCAGAAATGATTGCTATAGAATTGGGAAAACCATTCCTGGGCATTACAAAGAGCACTGCCAAAGAAATTATCACAAAATAGACGGAGGATGCAACACTCACGATCGGAAAAGATACTCCAGGGCTAACTCATTCAAAGGCGTTTATAACCTACCATTCTATGAACGCCTCTGCTTAGATCAAAGAATGTAGTAGGAAAGCTCTATGCATTTTCACGGGACTGATGATAGGACACTGTTTTCTGGGTAACAACATAAGAAGGATAGCTCTACAACAAACATCGTACTGTCGATTCTGCAGCGTGGAAAGCTAAACTGTAGAGCACATTTTATGTACCTGCAACGCTTTCGAAAGAACAAGGTAACAGATCTTCAGATTTGCCCGACTGGAGCTTACCGACTTTAAACAAGTCACCCAATTCTACCATGGTCTTTTTGAAAAGGTACGGCTTGTACGATGAACTGTAAGTTGGTCATAAGCCACAATAGATCCATCTAGGTCACAGTAGAAGGCGATGAAATCACCCTACTCATTTTCAACCTTACTTAGCGGGAAAGCCCACTCATGCGACGCATCGCGCGCGGCAATACTTTAGATGTTTTTAAATGACTCAAAGCCTATTAACGCGGTTCTGTCGCGTGGTCGCACGCGGCTGAAAATTAAAAATGACAATCCCGCGATTTTCCTGCCGCACGCGGTCAGCTTTATCATGGATTCATATATGGAGCATCACTCATACAAACGTCAAGTCGCGTGCGAAACGCCAGTTGAGAGTTAGAGTTTAATGTTAACTTTTCGACAGTTCCAGTGAAAAAATGTCCGACAATTGTATTGGTATAGATGAATTTATATTCGATATTCAAGACCGACCTCTTTGAGGGAAAGCCCACTCACGCGACATGTCGCGCGCGGTCTGCCGCATGCGATTTTTTAGGTGCGATTTTTAACAGACGACAAGCAGCGACACAGACGTAAAGTATCAAAATAGAGGTGGAAGAAGTAGCAACGGTATTGTTTTATTTTGTTTGTCGGCGGAAAAAATAAAAACAACTTAGGTACTGGGTTCATCAATTATTTATAGACCCTTATGTAAAAGGCGCATTTAACTTATTATATAAGGATTTACGTCAAAACGAAGATAAGTTCTTTAAATAGTGCATAATGGGAGTAGTATCATTTGACGAACTGCTAGCGCAGATTCCCGAACAAATATTTTTGTGGCTATTGTATTTTAATTAACTGTTTAATATTTGAAGTCGGTCTTGAATATCGGATATAAATTCATCTATATTAATACAACTGTTGGACATGTTTTCACTGGAACTGTCGAAAAGTTAACAAGAAACTCCAACTCTCAACTGACGTTTCGCACGCGACTTTACGTTTGTATGAGTGATGCTCCATATGTATCCATGATAACGCTGGCCGCGTGCGGCAGGAAAATCGCGGGCTTGTCATTTCTAATGTACAGCCGCGTGCGACCACGCGACAGGACTGCGTTAGAGGGAATGCCCACTCACGCGACATGTCGCGCGCGACTGATCGCGCGAGGCAATACTTTTAATGTATTTAAATGACCACGCGACAGAACCGCGATAATGGGCTTTGAGTCATTTAAAAACATCTAAAGTATTGCCGCGCGCGATGCCTCGCGATCAGTGGCACGCGACATGTCGCATGAGTGGGCTTTCACTCTTACCTAACCATCAAATTATGCAAATTTTTTAAAAAATTATATGATCTGAGATTCGAAGACGTGTTTGCTAAGCCAATGAAAGGTTAGTAAATGAATACGCAGTGCTTTAACAACCTACGCTACTCAGTCGATGAACCAATAGATTACATTTAAATGTGCCAGATGATATGTGAAGATGACATATGACATTTGGTTCAAATGATTTGAAGGTAGAAGTGATAGTTGAGAGATGAACTCGTGCTCTTATTGATTTACGTACTGTTGGAATTCTCCAGCTGGCGTCTCTAAGTTTTTGAGGGGTGACGCTCAAGAAAAGCTCACGAATTTGTGTCGTGGTAGAGTTTTCATTGAAACTGGAATTTAGGTACGATGCCATTTGGTATGCGTATTTTCTAGCGTTTCTTTGGTAACCCCAGGGGCTTAGAGCTGAACCACTCAGAGCTATGCCGGCTCTAAAAAGACCTGATAAATTATATTAATTTAATATTTATGGTTAAGGATGAGTTTTTGGAAAATACCTTCCGAGTTTTTATTCAGATACTGGTACGATACCGATGCTGCGCCTGCGCTTTCGCCGAAAATCGTAACTTTGGTTGGATCACCTCCAAAATATTTAATATTGTCTTGGACCCACTTTAGACCGAGTTGTTGGTCTTTAAAGCCAAAGTTACCAGATATAATTTTATCCTCGGTAGACAGAAATCCTAAAAAAAATACAGTATTGATTAGTCAATTTGGAACTAGGTTTGTCAAATATAGGGAAATATTATACAGGGTGTATCAACGATGCGTGGGTGAACGATAGCTGCTTCCCTATATGAGGTAGGAAAAAATGCTTCAAATAAAAGTTGTAGAGGGCATTGAAAGCTACGTTCCAAAAATAACTACCAATATACAGGGTGTCCGATAAATGTATGAGTTATCGAAGTAATGTTTTTTTAAAGGAAACACCCTATATATTTTTACTCGATTAAATTTCTTTGGAAGAGTGTTTCTCAAAAATATAGGGTTGTATGGGTTTATACTGGGTGGTTAGGAATTTATGGTGGGATTTAGGTAACAAAATGGGTTTATTCAACATCAAATATCTCTAAATCAATAATTTGGAATAAATTTTTTTTTCTGCCGAATATTCTCGAAAATAGTGTATTTTCATTTCCTATTCATAATTTTACCGAATGGCGCTTTTCCCATACAGGGGCAACCAAAACTCGGGACCACTTTTTTTTTCAGTTTTTTCAAATGGAACACCCTGTAAATGAGACCATACCAGGATAGCCCATACCATGAGCTTTCAGAAAATGTAGGGTTTGCCTACTTGATTTTTATCGGAAATGTATCTAATTCTTAAGGAAAGTATAAAAAAGTTATAAAAGCAATAACTATTTATTTATTTCATTCGAAAAAGCATAAATTCACATCAAATGTTCGAATAATCTCCCATTTTGAGCTATGCACAAATTAAGTCTATCTACATTTGCTCTTCTAACTTCAATTAAAGTTGATTTTGTAATAGAGTGAAAAACTTCTCTAATTCTATTCTTCATGTCTTCTGGTGTCGTTGGTTTTTCGCGGTAGACCTCTCCTTTAACATATCCCCAGAGATATAAATCTAGAGGCGTGAGGTCTGGAGACCTTGCTGGCCACTGAATGGGTCCGTTTCTTCCTATCTATTTATTACTGCGCCATCTGTTTAAAAACCATCTTACCTGATTTTGATTGTGGGGAGGCGCGCCATCATGTTGGTAATATAACCTGAGTCTGGTATCAATAGGTACATCCTCCAACAAAATTGGTAAATGATCTCGGAGAAAATCTCTTTAAATTTCCCCATTCAGTGGACTATCAAAGAAATGTGGTCCTATGACCTGATCCCCAATTATGCCCCCCCAAACATTTATCGACCATCTATTTTGGTAATCAATTTCTCTGACCCAATGTGGATTCTCTGTTGAGTAGTAGTGGCGATTGTGTCTATTTACTATTCCATTACTTTTAAATGTTGACTCGTCACTAAACAAAATGTATTTTAGAAAATTTGGTTCCTCGCGAATGAAATTCAATATATTTTTATAAAGTTCTTGATGTAATTCAATTCGGTATGAAGTTTATTTTTTATCAATATTCTGTTCACGGAAGTGTGACTTATATCCAGCTCTCTTGCAATTTCCCTCGTACTAACATGAGGATTCTCTACTGTTGAAAGGATCACCGCTAATTCATTTTTACCCTATTTTTTACTAACGATTTTTCAGGGAAACACAGACAAAATTAAAATCAACAAAAAATCAACACTTTTCCACTATTGCTCGAATGAAGAACCATTATTGACTTATGGAGAAGTCATTTATTCACACAAAATGTTTTAATAATAGCCATTATTTATACGGCCATAGCATCGGCCAGGTCCAAGGGATCTTTTAGAAGAGTGTCTTCAAGAGCACAGTAACGAAGAAATCCTTCTAATAATGAAATGTAGATAGTGTGTTATTATAACTCTGTAAATATTGTATATATATTAATAAAGGACTTTTGAAATGAATGAAATGGATCACCGCTAATTCATTTTCTTCATTTGTTGCAATTTTGTTTACTACTTGCCTTTTCTCGTGCTTGACACTGCCTGTTTCGTCAAATCTTTTTTTAACCCTCCGAAAAGTCTCTGGTCGTATAGACCTTGAATCAGGGTATCGAACTGCATACATTCTACTGGCTAATAAACAATTTCTATCACACTCACCCAAAATGTAGATCATATTTATCATTTCTTCGGTGGATAATTTCATTTTGAAGCGAAAAATTATTAAATTTCAACTATAAATTATTCTCCTCCTCGATAATTAAATATCAAATTCCTATAACGTTCAAATGTTTCAAGGGTGATTTGATTTTTCGCTGTATTACAAGATCAACTTTAATGAAAGTTCGAAGAGCAATTGTAGATATGATTAATTCGGGCATAGCTTAAAATGTGAGATTGTTTAAACATTTGCTGTGAATATACGCTTTTTTAAATAATTGTTCGTTTATAATAAATAAATAGTTATTGCTTTTATAACTTTTTTATACTTTCCTTAAGAATTAGATACATTTTCGATAAAAATCAAGTAGGCAAACCCTACATTTTCTGAAAGCTCATGGTATGTGGTATGGCCTCATTTACAGGGTGTTCCATTTGAAAAAACTGAGAAAAAAGTGGTCCCGAGTTTTGGTTGCCCCTGTATGGGAAAAGCGCCATTCGGTAAAATTATGAATAGGAAATAAAAATACACTATTTTCGAGAATATTCGGCAGAAAAAAAATGTATTCCAAATTATTGATTTAGAGATATTTGATGTTGAATAAACCCATTTTGTTACCTAAATCCCACCATAAATTTCTACCCACCCAGTATAAACCCATACAACCCTATATTTTTGAGAAACACTCTTCCAAAGAAAATTAATCGAGTAAAAATATATAGGGTGTTTCCTTTAAAAAAACATTACTTCGATAACTCATACATTTATCGGACACCCTGTATATTGGTAGTTATTTTTGAAACGTAGCTTTCAATGCCCTCTACAACTTTTATTTGAAGCATTTTTCCTATCTCATATAGGGAAGCAGCTATCGTTCACCCACGCATCGTTGATACACCCTGTATCTAATTCATTATGATTGAATAAAATAAACATTTCTTCTCTTAAATTCTTATATTTAAAATAGTTTTAATTGTATAAATGGTAAAGAGAAGCGACCTTAAGACTGGCGCTTAAGTTACTCCATGTTCCATTGTTACTGGATTTAAGTAGCTTTTGACATGTAGTATTTTTAAAGTCGTTTTCGTTTACAATTAAGTCATGCTTACCGAATAGACCAAGCCTATAGTTGATGGTTACCATTATGACTTCGTATTCCATAAAGTAATGGGGCCCAAGAAAGTCGAAGGCTCCAGTACCTAATATAAATCCTCCTCCGTGCATGAAGTATAAAACTGGAAGCGATACATTTTTTTCTGAAGGTAACTACAAAACAATAATGTATTTTCAAAAGGTATTTTTCAATACATTATAAATATAAGACCAATTTCATAATAAAGGTGGATAACCAAGGAAAGCTTTTATATGAGTTTACTTTAAAGTCTTCTTTAAAACAAGTCATTTCATAATGGTTCTTCTTATGAAATTTTACTATGTTGGTATTGCTGATCTATCTCTAATTTTAACAATCTCTTTTTTGATCAAATTTAGGAAAACTCACTAGACATTTTAAATTGACACTTATACTTAAACAAAATGGCAGACAAAAGTCATTAAAATTGATTTTATATTAATATCACTCTATATATTTCGTTTTTTGGAATCTAGGGTTTAAATTCCATATAACAGTTTTGCCAAATTTTTATTTTTGCAAACGTATTAAAAAACAAAAATATGTGGTAAACCTTAGGTCAGGTACTGAAAAATAATGTTCTAATAGCCTCGTCGAATGACTCGAAACAGAAGCCATTTCACTAATTGATGACTTTCTCGCCATTGAATAATAATAATAATAATAATAATAATAATACTCTCCCTAATTCACCCCCTTACGAGTGAATTTCAATGACAAATTTAATTACCAAGTTTTTGGGACAAAATAAAAGTTTTGGCAAAACTATCATATTATGTTAATTGACTCAAAAAAACATAAAACATATAAGGTGATTTATTTAAAAGATCAAACCTAATGACTTTTGCGCTTAAACCGAAAATCGACAGTATTCGCTCGGTGCGAAGTCATGAAAAGGAAAGTAAAAGCGATACTAGCACTAGCTGCGGATAATTCGTGCATTTTGTAATTTTGGCATATCAAATACACGTATACATTTTACTTTTTTTCAAAAAAGTAGGTAGAAACAATACATTAAACAATCGGAGTTGCTGTGTTGAAAATTATACAAATACTAGCAAAAAAAAAACAGTGAAACTTATATAAAAAATTTCAGTAGCAAAGTGAAAATTAAATCAAAGAAATAAATGAATAGGTGTACAATAAGAAGAAAAATTACCTTTATTTTTGTAATAATAACAGTAATGCTGGAAATAGTAGACATCAGAAACTTGAAAGGTTTTAAATAAATAATAAATTATCATTTTGCGATGTTCTTTAATATCCCTTTATTCTTACATGTTCATTCAGCAAGGACTAGATTTCAAGATTTCTGCCTTTGATTATTATATGTGGCTGGAATGCAATTTTGTGACTTACTGATGGGAAACCAGTTTTAATCATTCATTCTATGTTTTCTTTTGAACAAAAATGAAAATATAAATAACGATCCTTTTTTTATACATTTTAACTTCACGCTATTTAAATGGTATTTTTTTATTTTGACAGAATAGGCTAATTCTTCAATGGCAACTTATTAGACTAAGGCAACTTTTCATACATTTTCCAGTAAATACTGTTGCCTGCCTATATTTTATTATTGATTTTAATTGATTATACATAATTTTCTTTAATTTAGGCGATAAAAATATATAATAATAATAAATTAATGCTTTACTTGTTTTACAAATCCATATACTTTTATTAAAACTAACATATATACTTTTTAATTACGAATTCTATTAAAAATTGCATTTGTCAGTATACGCAGAAATAGTCCATTAGTACCAAAACGAATTGGCGCTGCTGTCACGCACGGAGCAAATAAGCGTCAATTTGAAATTATGCCTAGTAGATTTCCCAAATTTTATCGAAATCACTTTATAAACAAAATAGTTTATATTTTATTGTAAAATATTATGTAGTTTGAATAATGATAATCTAGCAGTAGCAATTTCTGAATTGGTACATTTGTGCAGTGAACACCCAATTAAATTAAATAATAAACGATTTGTTAATGGTTTATTTTCGATTTATAATCGTGGGGCGATGATGGGCCAAACCACAAAAGTAATATGCCATTAAAGCTTTCGCTGCCCAAGCTTTAATGATTAGTTCCAGCGAAATGGTCAAATTCCCTGTAACCAGCGAAAATCCAATCACACCATTACAAATTTCAAAATTATGGTTATATCAAAAGAAAGGCCTCTTTCAATGTAGAGATAATTTTTTTTCCTCCAAACCTATGGTTGCAAAAAAAATTGTTTGAACTCTATTTTTCATCACAATGGACTGTAACCGACAAGAGGTCACTTCATTGGGAAAAAAACTAAGCAAACAAATAATACGATCTAAGATAAAATACTACTAACATTTCATAAAATACATGTTAAACAATTCCTGAATACAAACATATTTCAAATTAAAATCATAATTTACGAAATATGGGCCATTTTTAGTCTATTACCATAAATAATGTCATTGCCATGGACCGTCCGATTTTTCATTTTAAATCCGCTAGGGAGCACCACCGGGGGTATTTTATATTAGGTGGGATTGAGCGTTACTCCTCAGTTTTTCGTCAGCATTGAAGAGTGCATATGCTTTGTTTAGCTTGAACTAGTTGAATTATTAACGTGGTAAAAGAGGACGTATTTTTTTAATGTATCAACACTGTGCATCTCATCAACAAGTAGTTTTTTAGTAATTATATCTAACAATTGTAATATTGGGACAACATTAGGGCCACAAAATCTTTTTATTATTAGATTTATTTTTAAAGAATTTTATTAACTTGAAAATTGCTAAAATACTATTTTTTATCATCACCATGGACATCATAACCATGGACTATGACTGTCCATGGTGATGAGATGTATCCATGGGAATCATGGGAATGACTAAAATAATTGTTAGCGTTTTAAAAAAACTGCAATTTTGTTATTTTGTAGAACACAAAAAAAAGACGCAAACAGAAACGAGAGTGTGAACGAAGAAGGCGAGAAAAATATAAAGGAAAACCCTGAACTTTATGAACAGGCCAAAATAAAAGAAAGACAGCGTTATCAAAGACGTAAAAAAGAAGGTAAAATAAAATCCATAGCTACAGTGTCCGGTAGAACTGCCAGAGCCATAAACGCCGCTGGAAAGATGCTTCTGCAAAATATAGAGACTATTTATATTAATGGAAAACAATATTCCCCCTTTAAGCCCAGAAGCTGCCGATCAACCGACAGGAGGCAGTCAAAACAGTTATTTTTATTCACCGGAAGACACGAACATTGCTACGCCATCTTCGTCGAGAAATAGATCGAAAGACAATAGAGAGTTGGAAAAAGTAAAAAAAGAAATGGAAAAATTGATGAGAAAAAGTTTTAAATATAAAACGCGGTATTACAGATTAAAAGACAAGCATTTAAAAGAACAGAAAGAAAAAATGAGACCAAAGTCAAAAGTAGAGAGAGAATTGAATGGTAAAAATGTACCGCTAGAAATTAAAAAAAAGGTGCTTTCTGCTGAGGTGTTAAAAACACAACTAGAAATAAATTTCAAAGCAAGAGTAAGTCACAAGGAAAAACGAGAGTTTGTGAGATGTGTCACAGGAAATATTACAAAGAAATAAAGATGTTTTAATGACATGAGAAACATAGGATCTTATAAATTATTTTCTCTGAAAGATCTGAAATCCACTAAAAGAGTTGACATTGCTAAAGAGATTAGGCATGCAATTCAAAAGTTTTACCAAAAAGACGAAAACAGCAGGGTAGCTCCTGGTAAGAAAGATTTAATCTTAATGATACCAAGAAAAACTTATATTATAAGTTTTCCCGTAAATAAAAACGCTTTAATGTCTCCTATGCACTTTTTTGTCAACATAGGCCATTTTTGGTCTTAATACCAAAAGCCTCATTAAGAGAGACCTGTCTCTGTGTTTTTCATGAAAATATGGGACTTTTAGTATTAAAAATAAAAATGATAGAGATAGTAACGCAAGCTAATTCTGACGACTGGGTAAAAAATGTATGTTGTGAGCCAGCAACAGAACATTGTTTGGAAAGAGTATGCCAGAATTGTAAAACCAAAACTATGACTATGACGATTATAATGCAGAAGAAAATACCTCATACAAAAAGTGGATTTTTAAACGTGAAAAGCCTCTCGTAAAAGGTCATGAAAAAGTTTGTCAAAAAAATGTTAAAGAGAATTTCCTTTGCACCAAGTCCCATTTATTAAAGGCAGTGGAAAAAATCAGCCCAACTACATAGATTATATTAAATCCCATTTAGGTAAAAAGGATATCTTAGTACATATGGATTTCTCAGAAAATTACTCCTGTAAATATTCTTAAGAAATACAGTGTGCCCATTTTGGAGGCTCGAAACCTCAGATTTCTACTCACACTGTGGTGTGGTATACTAAATCTGAGGATGGAATCTTACATCCGCATTGCTTTTGCAGTCTCCCAAAAGTTTAAGGCATGATTCAGTTGGTATTTTGGCACATTTGAAGCCACTCTTCGAAACAATTTTAAATACTTGTCCCGAATTGGAAAATATTTATTTTGTGAGCGTTGGTCCTAGCACCCAGTACAAAAATAAAAGTATGTTTTACATATTTGGAATAGAATTTTCTAAATTACTTGATGCGCAATATATGACTTGGAACTTTACTGAGAGTGGTCATGGAAAATGAGCTCCTGATGGTGTGGGGGGGTGGGTGTATTAAAAGAACAGCTGATCGGTTGGTGGCTCAGGGAGCAGATATACCAGATTTGGATAGTTTAGCTTCAGTACTGAAACAAAACTACCCGGGCATAACCTTCAAAGTAGTAGTGGAAGAAGATATTGAAGTTTTAAATGATGTAATTCCCCTTAATATCAAGCCTTTTAAAGGCACTATGAAAGCAAGACAACTGGTCTGGACTCTTAAATATAATATTATGATTCATTTAAGACGATTAAGCTGTCTAACTTACAAACCTCCAAATCCTTGCCTTCATTATCACTTGGGTGAAATGCTACTTGTTCCTGCTGTTAATAAGAATCATCTCAGATATTCAGATATTTATTCTGATAGTTCTAACGATGATACGCAGAGCCCAATTCCATATCAAACAGAAAAAAAAATAGTATCAGGTAAATTTGTATTGGTTGAGTATCCTAAGAATTCGAAAGTATATTATGTTGGCCAAGTTAAAAGTATACAAGAAGATAAAACTATTGAATTTTCTCATCAAGGAAAGTAAACTATCTTTTTATATGGCCAGAGATAGGGGATAAAGAGGTAGTTGATTTCAACAACGTCAAGAAACCACTACCTGTGCCAATATCATTAAGAAGGAATAAGTTTCGATTTACAAATGAACATTTCAATAGATTTACTAATGGTAAATAAACAAATCACCACTTGGTATATTCTTATTCTATTCAATGCTTTGTTTTTAAATATAAGTTAATAATGTCAAAGTTGTGTTCAGCATTATTTATTTTCATTTTCGATTATTTATTTTTTGTTCATTATAATTGGTATAAAAAGTATCTTTGATATTTTATAATGTACGTTATTATAAAATAATAAATTAGTTTTATTACTCTTGTAAATAAAAGACTCTTCTTTCATGCAACAATATTAAAAAAAATGCACGGATAACTTCATGAAAAATGGAAAACACATAATTGATCAACTCCATGGACATGCATTATTTATTTTTTAGAATAAAAACCATAAAATCTAATAACGATCTCAACCTTAAGTGGTTAACAAACGTATATCATCTCTTAAGCATAATGGCATCAATAATTTATATAATTTTCGTATTTAATATATTAGATTTTTCAAACATAATTTTTTACCATTTCACTTGAATAACCCTTATGCCAACTACACGCTCTGGCTCATCGGTGTACGAACATTTAGAAGTTTGGACGTTCATTAACTTCATGGGCCATACAAAATGAAAATCTAAAAATTTATTTTGGGGAATAGCTATTATATGTACAAGGTGATTATAAATACAGACAGACGTTAACACAAAAAGAGAAAAGAATATAGACCTCTATAGGATGTCTATAGGATGTACTGATATCAAAGAAGTATATTACCGGGCCGTTGGCTGACGGTGTATCTATAAATTCATTTATCGATCAAGGTAGTCAAGCACTTCATGAATGGTTGACCCGAGACTATAAGTTCTCGGAAGCCTATCTAGGGAGTGAAATAAATGAGGAATTAATAAATCGAAAGAAGTAGGGTATCCAAATGATGGTACAATTAGCCAATGAAACTGTATGGAAGGTTGGGCCATTCAAGACAAGGAGTCAAAAACAACCAAGAGTAGTTTAAAAGGAAGTATGACAGCTAGACCGCCAATTTCTCTAAACTAAAACAAGTTCGCATGTTCGAAATTAGTACAGAGACTGCTTTAGTGAAGTTAAGGGATACCTATACAGGTCTATGGAGATCATCTATTGTTAGAAGTAAAAAACCATTAAGTGGTTTCATAAAACTCACACCAGTTTATCCACAGGCTGTGTCAATATCATCTGCCAAACTGAAAAATCTTTTTTTGATATGATGAATAATAATATGACAGTGACGGATCATTCACAAAATGCCTGTAAACATTTCGACCCTTGGTTTTTGGTTTTCAGAAAACTCGTATTTAGCTGACTAATCTATTTCTATATTCAAACGTCAATTGTATTGTTATATATGCAATAAATAAAATATAAAACTCTAAAAATTCATTTATAATTATTACCAAAAAACAGAGCTAACTATTTTTTTTGTTTTTAACTGAATGAAATGAATGTCTAGTAAACTGTAATATAATTTTAAAATACCTTATAAATATTGAAAGATTTTTATATAAAAACAAACGAATCACACTGTACATTTTTTGCTGGTTTTCTGTATGTGGAATGTACGGTTGTAGTAAATAATAGCTATATATGTTACTAGTACGTAATGTATAGCTTTATTGAACGCGCTCTCTCTCTATATATTGTTAGCAATTTTACCTAGAGTCGCCTCTGGTCAGGGAGATAAGCACGTGTTGATGACGATGCGTAAATACCCCGACCTTTTTCGTCGGCATCTTGTTGGTGTTTCACAGGGCATTCTGAAAAGGACAATCAACGTGGTCGATCCCTCTGCTCAGATTACTGGCTACTCGTTGTCATTGATTGTGTATTTGTATTAAATATTGATACGATTATAGTGGTGTTTACTAATATTTGGATTTTTAATTGTAATTAACATTTATACCCCCTTCGTTTTCTAACATCAGAAGTGCGATAGGACTCATGACTCACGCTGTTGTTGATGCATTGTTATTAATTAATTACCGTTAATGACTTTTTGGTGAACAGTTATTTAAAATAATTATTGTGCTATTTCTTAGGTGTAGAACAATAGAAAAAAAAACAGATATTGTTATCAGAGTTAGTTACTGCGTTACAGGCATCAACTGAGCAGGAAATTTGTGATATTTTCGACCTGAGTTAAGTGAATCCAACAAATGGGTGAGTGGTATTAAAATTATAAAATATAAGATGATATGACGTGAAAATATTAGGCAGAGTTGGTTGATTTTTACTGAACGAATATTTGATATGATCAGTGAAACCAAATATGATTACTTTTAAGACGGAGTTTACTGAGCCATTTCCACCGAAACGTAACGTTCATGAAAAATCTGCGATGATAAGTTTACGAGCTAATTGGAATAAAAGTGACGTAGTATAATTAATTATTCACAGTATTTTTAAATTAGATAATAATGGCAATGAAATTGTCGGACAATTAAAGAATTTTTACTATTTTTGTTATCTTTTGCTAAGTGGAATTTAAAAAGCAGATGTTAAGTCACCTAATCTGAGAAAACACTTGTATGTTGATAAATATTCTGCCATTAATAGCCGTTTGTCAAAGAAATGTGAAGAGTCCAAGACCCGACGCAGCTGCTTCATACAGTAAACAAAATCTGAAAACGAGAATGATGATGGTTGCTCTATTTGCGCTAAATGTGGAAATACGATTTTAAATTGTTTTACAAAAGCTGCTATTGACAAAATACGATTTTAAATTGTTTTACAAAAGTTGCTATTGACAAACGCCGAAACATTAATTTTTGTCTAGCTGATAAACTTGCAAATACAACAGAAATTTGAAATTGAAGGGCATCTAATTTAGGCTCTTGTGGAGATATTTATCGTTAATGTTGAAAAAATGTTTAGATTGATTTAAAAATGAAGTATTTATTTGTAAAATTCTGCTAAAGAGTATTACAAAAAAATGTCATGATAAGTGCTAAAATAAATGTACAGGGTGTACAAAAATTTATGACGTTGATATTTCTGTCATTTACATATTTGTTTGTGAGAGTATTCTGGATTATGATGTAATTATTGGTCGTGATTTATTTGAAGACCAAGCTCTAATGACAATAACAGATCTTCAAGGTTCTCGTATTGAACGACGTAAATTACATGGAATTAAGCGAATTTTTGAAAGTTTTCACATATAATTAGGTGAAGTTAAAGTTCCGTCCCAGAGTCCTACGAGGTATTTGAGAAAGTTTTTTAAGATTTCGGAAGCATATAACAAGTGGTAATAAAATAAGAGCGGTTAATAATCTTAGTTAAAGAAAATAAAGTTCGAAAAAGGCACTGTTTTGAATCATGCTTCACCGAGTTGCTCCAAGTGAAACAGAAGCTGTACTATAGGAGGGACATTACAAAAAATTTGGTGGCTAACCTGAGTATTCGTCTAAGTAGCCCTGCGGTTTTCGTAAAAAAAAAAGTTGTGCATGCTGGTACAGTGTTCACTTTAGAGAACTATCAAAAACTGTTAAGAATGGAAAAGTAAATAAAATCAGAATGGCCGAACGGTCCATGGAAGATTCAGCTTGTTTTAAAAAAATTAAACATACGTTACAGTTACTTTTGGGAATTGAAAGTTCATATCCCCGATATGTTTTAATGTTTATAATACTAATTTATCGGTCTCAGTCCCGTCAGTGGTTGAGCCGGATGTGGTGGCTGCGGTCTCACATGTTTTTTTAATTTTTATTGCTTATATTTATCGGTCTCAGTCCCGTCAGTGGTTGAGCCGGATGTGGTGACTGCGGTCTCACATGTTTTTTATTTTTATTGCTTATATTTATCGGTCTCAGTCCCGTCAGTGGTTGAGCCGGATGTGGTGACTGCGGTCTCACATGTTTTTTTAATTTTTATTACTTATATTTATCGGTCTCAGTCCCGTCAGTGGTTGAGCCGGATGTGGTGACTGCGGTCTCACATGTTTTTTATTTTTATTTTTTATATTTATCGGTCTCAGTTCCGTCAGTGGTTGAGCCGGATGTGGTGATTGCGATCTCACATGTTTTTTTATTTTTATTGCTTATATTTATCGGTATCAGTCCCGTCAGTGGTTGAGCCGGATGTGGTGACTTCGGTCTCACATATTTTTTTAATTTTTATTGCTTATATTTATCGGTCTCAGTCCCGTCAGTGGTTGAGCCGGATGTGGTGACTGCGGTCTCACATGTTTTTTTATTTTTATTTCTTATATTTATCGGTCTCAGTCCCGTCAGTGGTTGAGCCGGATGTGGTGATTGCGATCTCACATGTTTTTTTTTTATTATTATTGCTTATATTTATCGGTCTCAGTCCCGTCAGTGGTTGAGCCGGGTGGTGGCTGCGGTCTCACATGTTTTTCTTTATTTTTATCGCTTATATTTATCGGTCTCAGTCCCGTCAGTGGTTGAGCCGGGTGGTGGCTGTGGTCTCCACATATAAATTTATTTTTCAGAAGATGTCCAATTGACACAGTAGTGCCGAGAACGTCACTAGCGGCAGAATTGGCCGTGTTAGCAATTTTACCTAGAGTCGCCTCTGGTCAGGGAGATAAGCACGTGTTGATGACGATGCGTAAATACCCCGACCTTTTTCGTCGGCATCATGTTGGTGTTTCACAGGGCATTCTGAAAAGGACAATCAACGTGGTCGATCCCTCTGCTCAGATTACTGGCTACTCGTTGTCATTGATTGTGTATTTGTATTAAATATTGATACGATTATAGTGGTGTTTACTAATATTTGGATTTTTAATTGTAATTAACATTTATACCCCCTTCGTTTTCTAACAATATACTAGAGAGGGAAAGTAAAATAAGGCGTATTGTATACGTGTGACATAATACATGGTTTTGTGTTAAACTAATCATCGTTAATAGAAGGTAAAAATGAGTTTGTAATGTCAACGAGGTTATAAAACGTGTCAATATGATTGAGTTTAACATAAATTTATATAATTTTAGCCTTTGTGGAAAGATAAATAGAATTTTATCGTATTTAGCGAATGCAAAAAATCGAAGCTTTTATGATGGCATTTTTTCACAACAAGATTTGCAGAGCAATGACGCCATAAAAATCGACGAAGCAGACAACAGAAGTGGTTGTGATAAATCCTAATTATTTTTTGTAACTTAAGCTTGAATAAAAACTAAATTTATAATAATATTAGTTTTGTTTTATTTTTTTTTTCTCTAAAAAACAGCATAAGTCCAAGTTATTTTAGGTGTTTTTCTCAAAATAACTTTGATTTTTTCAAAGGTACTAGCTGAAAAATCTTTATTTAACTTATATTCACCACCTTAAGATATAGTTTCTTTAAAACATTTTAATAAACTCTAGTGCGTTTTTTGATCTCCTGGAAAATTAACATTTTGGACATAATATGTTGTTTCTAAAATAAACGCCTCAATTTTATTGCATTTATGTAATTTTATTGTATTTATTTAAAATAATGTTTTTATATAATGTATTTATGTGATATATTGATGTTTCTTATACGTTAATTGGATGCAAATCTGTTAAATAGTGTAATAAAAAAAAAGTTAAGAACATTTGAAGTATCATTTTAATATAAAGGCTTCTTTAAATTGAATATGAAATTGATTCTTAGCTTAAAGATTCTGTTTTTCTTTTCAAGTTATTATTTATAATATAAAATAAAAAAGTAGGTTATTTTTTCCCGGATACATATATCTACATATTTAATACTTGGCAAAGAAAACGCTTATATTAAATCCGGTTTAGTAAAGAAAACTCAGGAAAATAATAATCACTATTTCTTTTACTATAACACAAGAATAAATTTCCAGAAGGCTAAGTTAACCATTCTAGAGAATGATCCATAAAATGTTTCTTAAGTGGGCCATGACCGACAAAGATAGAGTCATAGCCGTGATAATTAATGCACGGCTCTGAATTTAATCCAAACTGACACTTAGAATGAAGAAGAATTATACGCTCCGATATATGTATATTTTTTTAAAGCTTACAAAAAAATATTGTTTAAATATTTAAAACCAATTATTTAAAAAATATATTAAGTATAAATATTTTAGTCAACAGCAAAATTTAATATCAAGACGTTACTAGCCTAAAAACTTATCAAAGAGTAAAGAATAATCACTTACCTTGGGAGTATACACATTAAGAACCAAACATTGTTCACTCTCAATAAACGGTGCCTGAGCAGGAACTTGCGATATGCAAACTAAATTATTAGACGTTGCATTTAGGACACCTTCCCATGGATCGGCAGGTTGAGGAGACTAAAATATAAGTTTTATTATGATTTCTGTAATTCTCTAATATATTGGTATTTACCTCAAATCTGCCAGCTTTTCCATACGGAATTTGTAAAAATGCGTTAAATGAAATGCCGCGTCTAGAATATTCTATTCGACCCTGTATAACTCCGTTTAAGGTCGTTACTTGTTGTCCGTTCTGTAAAAAGAAGTGTCAAAAATAGTTTTAAAAAAAAAATGGCTATTGACTTACTATTGATATGACTCGAAATAAAATTAGCCATATAAAAGTTTTTAAGTATATCATTTTTTATATTTCTAATGAATAGGTTACGATATTAACAATGACTAACATTGAGAGTACTTACCATGAATATATATTGTAATGATATTAATGTTGGCAAACAATAATTTAAAAGTTAAAAAAATAAAACAAAATTAAAACAGAACCATAATATTATTGATAATTATGATAAATAAAACAAGTATTTGGTACAGAACTAACTATTTGAATAATTAAATCTAAGGCAAACATAAAAATAATGGAGAAATCTTATAAGTCAAAAATAACATGGATTTCCCATAAGAGTTTTACTCTAATAAAATGCTTAAAAAAAGACAAATATAATGATTAAAATTGTACATGAAATAGAAAGTTATGAAGCCTGACACAAAACTGATATGATAAATAATAATACACCATTGTTGTATTTAAATAAATTAAATGAGATTCCAAATAATGATTTAACCTCAAAAGTAAATTAAGAAAAAAAGATAAAATAAAATGCTTTTATCTACTATTAGGCTTAACTAAACACATAAAATGAACTAGAAGTATGATTTGGTCACAGTTTATAGCTAAAGAATCAGTTAGCTCACTCAGACCAATTGGATGTTCCAAAATAGTTCAGTGATGATGTAATTATGGTTCCACTAACAATTAAAGTGACAGTAGATTTTTTAAGTGCGTTGTGTTTGTTTTGTTTACCTAAATTATATCGTTTTTTTTTTCATTTTTATAAATAAGTAGATAACATGCATCAAATATACAATCGTTTAGTTAGCAATTACATACCTTTAAACTATTTTTTATGACCTGTAAACAATATTTAGAAATAAACTAAAAACAGTAAAAACGTATATGTCAAATGTATTGATGTTTTTGGTTAGAATTAAATGTCAGTGGAACCAAAATCACACCGAACTAGCGCATAACATCCACTCCAGGGATACAAATTCAGGATGCGCAGAAGACTGCTGTTTAAATATAGGCGGTTGTCATAATATTTCCAAACAAATGAACTGCCAGTGGGAAGATTTGATATATCCAAGGGTTGCGACATACGATGTATTCTATTTACAATACGTAAAATTATAAGTAATGGATTACATTTAAATATTTTATGTCAAACACAATAAAAATAAGAAACCGCTTATACATTTTTTTATAAATTGGCAGGCAGGTGACTATTGTTTCGAATAAAAAGAGCGTTCAAGATGCAAGACTATGTCGCTACCCCCTTAGATATGCCAGACCTTCTCACTGGCAGCTATTGTTTGACAGGTCGTTGGAATGTCTAATTAGTTATAGTAAGGGAGCTCACTTAAAATTACGACCGCCATCTGATAACAAAATTAAATATGCTCCAAAAACATGTAACAAATTGCACCTGTGCCAATCTCTATCCTGAGCAAAGTGGTTGAAAAAAAAAAAATTTATATTCAAAAAATTACATAATATATGACAGCGATAATTGTGTTTTCCCTGAAAATTACAATCCTAATTCATTGTGAACCTAGCTTTAAAACTTGAAATATTAATATGTTTACTTACCTTTTAAACCATGTGTATGTGTGAAAGGAAAAAGAATGGCATTGTATAAACCATTTGCAGAGCTAGTCAATAATAATTATAAACTCTTGTTAGACAATTCTTATAATACATAATCATAGTAGTTTTTTTTGTCGTTTCAATGGCAACCTGTAAAAATGAATCACAGCAATAGGCATACAAATAAATTTTTAAATTAGCAAAAATTGATTCACATTTTTAATAATTTTCTTTACTAATGTTTCCCGAACGATATATATCAAGATATATTTAAATTTGTTATTATCTGGAAAACTTAAAGGGCAAACAAAATTAGCTCTGTCATGCCTTAGTGATTTTTTTGATATAATTTTTTTTTAACCACTTTGCTCTGGATTGGGATTGGCACAGTTGTCATTTGGTAAAGTACAATGTTTTTTACAAGCTTTTGGGGTATATTTCATTTCATTATCAGATGGCGGTAAAAACTTGCAGTGGGCTCTTGCGCTATTATGATTTGATTCTGTATGCGCCAGGGATACAAATTCGAGTTGCACAATGTATAAACTAGAACCCGAGAATAACCAAACGCCGAGAAGCGACAAAGACCCTTTCCCGCCGGGTCGGTTTTCGACGGCGCATGATCGAAAATATGGTGTATATTTGCATGTGGCCACAGAATACTTTTACAGAAGCGAAGGCATGTCAATTTTTGGGGTCCAAATTTTTTTGCGCATGATCAGGGCCGCCATTTTATAACCGACAAAACTGTCATGTCATGTGCGAGTGTTGTTTTGATGCATCCAGAATCAGTAATTTGCAATTTGCGATTTTTTTATCGAATTTAGTGTGTTTGTATATTTTTTTAACCATTATTGAGTAAATCTGTGTTTGTATTTAGTGTTTTCTTTTGTCTATTTTATGAACATTGTTTAGTAAACCTGTTTTTAATTAAAGATTTTTTGTGTGGTATGTGCTGAGCTATTCATACATTTTTGTTTTATTTAACCAAAATAATTTTTTAGTGTTCTAATGGAATCTAAAAGAAAGATATGTGCTTATCGCCCATGTCCACCTCGAATGGACTTAAATACCAGTTATTTTTCATTTCCCAAAGTTTCAGAAAGGTATGCAAAATAAATTATTCAATCTAACCGAAGAAAACTGATTGCTCTATGTAAAAAATAATTTAAATGTTGATCCAGATATGCAAATTTCTAACATTTTGTTAACTGTATTATTTATTCGGCTATTTAATCAAAACATAATTATTTTAGTATCTTTTGTATTTTTTAGGGCTGCCATGTGGTTAAGAGCATGTAATCGAGAAGACTTGATTAATATACCCACTGTAGAATTACACAAAAACTACCAGTTGTGTAAAAAACATTTCCAGTTCAGTAGTTTTTCAGTTGGATCAACTCGGAAACATTTATTTGAAAATGTACTTCCGACAATATTCTGGCACACACCCGCAACAAATGAAAACAGTGATGTAGGAGAAACAATTATTGTTTCGAATGAATCTGTGCCAATACCTACTACTAAATCATACAACGATTTTCTCAGTACACCAGGTATTAAAAATAATATAAAAGTTGTTTTTATTATTTTCTAAATTTTAATATTTTTAGGTTCCAGCAACACAACAGCTCATTTTGAGAGTGAATGAGAGGCAATTTTTTCAGCCTACCAGGTATTAAAAATAATATAAAAGTGTTGTGTTTATGTATTTTTTAAATTTAACTATTTTTTTAGGTCCCAGCAAAACCTTTGAAGATAAAAGAGAGAGTGTTGCTTCTACTGCGATAATGCATGTGCCAGTCCCAAAAATATCTCCCGACGGTTGGGTCATAGACATTTTTATATACATATGTATTACTGAGAATAAAATATTTCTATTTCTATAAAATTGGGGTAATTAACATTAATCTGTAAGTTAGATTGTTTATTTTTAGCATACATGTTAATTTCTAATTTACAGAAATCAGCCATTTCAGTATTGTCTCTTTTTGATATATTTTTACTTTCCTATCTGTATACAGATATAAGGAAAGTATAGGAATCATGATTTTTTTCGACCTCGAGTTTTCGACGGATTTTTACGTTTTGAGGTCCCCTGAATCCGTTTTGACTATTTTCGCGATGATGTCTGTGTGTGTGTGTCTGTGTGTCTGTGTGTGTGTGTGTGTGTGTGTGTGTGTGTGTGTGTCTGTATAACGCATAACTCATGAACCGATACACGGAAGAACACCAAATTTCAAACTTAAGCTTTATTCCAGCGTCTAATGACCTGATTAGATTTTGGGCAGAGTCGGAACATCTGGGGGGGTACTTTATAGGTGGTCATTTTTATATTTTATGGAATATATCTGTTATTTACGTTTGGGGAAGAAAATTTTTTAAATAAAAGTTACTTATTATTTTATTATCTATAATTTTTGTCATGTACAAAATTTTCCTAAAATGGTCCGTATTCGAGAAATTTGACAAAATGTAAAAAAAATTTTTTTTTATAAAAATTGTTCAAACAAAAGTTGTTTGTAATATAATTCTCTATAATTTTTGTCCCATAGATAATTTCTCTAAAATGGACCGTATTCGAGATATTTGAGAAAATGTGTAAATTTCGAAATTTGAAGAAAACTCAAAAACGGATAAAGAAAAAATCAATAAATTTTAAACTTAAGTTTTATTTCGGCCTGACGTGAAATGATTAGATTTTGGACAAAGTCGGAACATCTGGGGGGGTACTTTATGGGAGGCCGTTTATATATTTTATGGAATATATCTGTTATTTACGTTTGGGGAAGAAAATTGTTCAAATAAAAGTTACTTCTAATATTATTATCTATAATTTTTGCCTTATGTAAAAATTTCCTGAAATGGTCCGTATTCGAGAAATTTGACAAAATGTGCAAAATTCTGATTTTTATGAAAATTGTTGAAATAAAAGTTGTTTGCGATATCGATCTCTATAAAATTTGTTCATACATGATTTTTTTCAAATGGACCGTAATGGAAAAATTGTAGGAAAAGTGCTAAATTTAAATTTTTCAGTATTTTCATTTTCAATGAATATCTATAGAAAAATGTTTCGCGGTAGATGTATGTGGACAATGTATATATATTTAGTTTATCCTCTAAACATTTATAGAGATGCTGCAATAGGTTGTACACAATAAACGGAAAAAGCCTGTAATTACTAGATAGGAAAGTCATGTGTTGGACACATCAGATTTTTTATATTATTGTTGATTTTATTTATTTTCTCATGAGCAATTATTTTATATTGATATTTTCATTAATTTGATTTTTGTAATACGTGTTTTATATAATTAAAATTAATTATGAGTATGTGTTTTAATTATAAACTTTTTTTACAGTCCTTTTCAAATCTTAATTTAATTCAAAGTTCTAATAAATATGCATCTAAAAATGCATATTACAACAAATTGTTGATTTATAAACAAATCCAGTATGGATTTATGGCATACATATATGAGGATGTGCCCATTATTGGTGATGATTTTCTATCAACGACTACTAAATTAATTTTGTTTACAAAAATAGAATTGTAAAAAACCACGGATTACCCACCGAGTTGTCAAATTATTATAAGAGTATGGCGAAAGTCTTATTATGGTATTATTGACATATCATAAGGCTCTAAAACACAAAAGGCTTTCAAAATTACAGTT